TGTTCAAACATCTTCCCAAAATACAGGTAAAGTATCTTATTATATACATGACATTTTCCCCGATCTGCCCAACCTTTTTTTGTGTGTATGACGGTGGGGGGAAAGTCCGAAGCTGGGATTTTTGTCAAATAGGGAATGCCTGATAAGAAAACTCCCTCACCCAGGCAACTCCTCTGTATCTTATTAACCTTAAAGAGTTACCTAGACCACTTGCTTATGGTCACATAGCCTATACGTAATGAACCTGGGACTTCCTGAATCCAAAACCAACCAACCCTCTACACCACACTGCCTCTGCCAAGTCTGATGACCATGTCAAAAAAAAATGAGATTAGTCTCAAATGATCTGTTCTTGATGAACTCAGTTTAGTTCTTAGTGAGCATGGATTCCCTAACTACATCCCACCGTCTCATTAATAATATGTCCTACAGTTTTGTCAGGAATTGACATCAAGCCCATAGTCAATCTTCTGAAAGGTTTACATTCCTCCTTTAAAGAAAAAGAAGGGGGGAGGGGGTTATTTGCCCGTCTCTAGTCCCAGAATTTAGATCTGCCCACTAATTTTACAAATGAAGAAATTATGACCCAGAAAATTGAATGACTTGCTCAAGATCACACAGGTAGATTCAATTTCAGATTCTCTGACTCCCAATCTAATTCTCTTTCCCTGGTACCATGTTGCCAGCACCATTCTACCTCCTTACTTTTCAAACATTTCCATCTTGGCTCAGCCACCAAAAAAAAAAAATTACAGAATTTTCCAGTTGAGAGGTATTTTCAATGCCATCCCCAATTTCCAGGATACTTGACCAGTGGCCATCCAACCTCTGCTTGAAGACCTTCAATGAAAGAGAGCCCGCCACCTCCCAAGGCAGCCCATCTCACTTCGGGACTGTTCCAATTATTGGGAAGCTCTTTTTGACATCAAGCTTAAATCCACTGCTTTGCAACAACCCCCAATATGTGTCTCCCGGTTCTTTCCTCTGGAGCCAAACAGAATGAGACCGATCCTTCTTCTGAGGGTGGAACTTCAAATACCCAGACAGAACTATCATGTACCACCTGAGCTTTCAAGCTCAATACCCTCAGTTTCTTCAGCTGATCTTCATAAAACATGGACTCCAGATTATCACTGTCCTTTCAGCACCATGGAATATAATATGGTCAAGCTGGGTGCTTTGAACTGACTGAAAGAAGCTTGAGATTCTCTCAGCATCAATTATCTTATCAAATTCACTTTGCCTTATGTTTTCCATTCCTCCTACTGTTTTTGTTCACAGCATCAAAGAATTTCAGAGTTCACAGACTCCCAGAGCAGGAAAGAGAACAGATTTTAGAGAAACTTCCTAACCATTGAAGCTGTCCCAAAGTAGGAAAGGTTAGCCTTGATAAGTAGTAAGTTCCTTGTCATTGGAAGTGTACAAGTGGATGCCAGGATGCTATTTCTCTACGTGTTCAGTGAATGAATGAAAAATGAACGTCAATATTTATTAGGAACTTGCTATACGCCAAGCACTGAGGATACAAATAGAAAAAGCCAGATAGTCTCTGCTCCTAGAGAGCTCTTACTCTTGAGCAAGAGAGCAAGTATGGAGAGTGTTCAGCCCAAGGGCAGCTGGAGAGGCCCAGAAATACTAAGGGTTCAGAAGCAGGGAGGCTGGCAAGGGCCACAAGTCCTTGGGGTTCCATAGAAGAGATTCCTGTCAGGTAGGACTAAATAGTTTCTGAGACCCTGTCCTAACACAAGATTCTAGTATTCCCAGAGTTGCATGAGTGAGGGATTTTATCATCTGAGGGAAATCCCAGCATGGGAACTCTCATCAGTGACTCCTCCTATGATTCAGTACGTAAGTCAAGGGACCGGGGCGGGGGGTGGTGGGAGATGGGAAGTGACATGGCTGGACTCAACCAGTATCAGAGGAGAATTTGAACCCAAGTTTTCTAGATTCCTCAGCTCCCAATCCTTCTACGCTGCCTCTTCTAACACCTCATAGTAATGTGACAATTAACACATTGCCCTTACTCCACCCAGGTATCTACGCCTAAAAGTACCTTGAAAGGCAATAACAGAACCTTTCAGGGGCCATCTAATCAAACCATGCTGAGAGCTGCTACCTAGCTTGTGTGAAGGGCTATTTCTGCAAGGGACACTCTAAGCCTTGAATTATGTGACTACTATTCAGTTACATCTAAAAAGATGCTCACCCCATTTATCAGAGCTACTGAAACTCCAGGTAATAACATTCTCCTGAAAACAATAGTGTTTTCTTTGGATGCTTTTCAGTCTTGTCTGACTCTTCATGACCCTTTTAGGGATTTTCTTGGCAAAGATGTTGGAGTAGTTTGCCATTTCCTTCTCCAGCTCATTTTACAGATGAAGAAGCTGAGGTATACAAGGTTAAGTGAGTTGCCCAGGGTCACACACCTTGTAAGTATCTGAGGTCAGATTTGAACTCATGAAGATGAACCTTCCTGACTCTAGGCCCAGCACTCTATCAACTGACCCACCTAGCTGTCTGACAAAACAGTAGCTTAGGTTTATTTATGGCTTTAGTTTGATAACATTTATTACATATTACTTTACAGTTGGTGAAATGCTTTATGCATGTAATGTAATTTGATCCTCAGAACAACCTGTAAAGTAGGTACCATTTTTTATCTATTTTACCAATGAGGAAACTGAGGCTAGGAAAAGTTGAGAATTGCTTGGGGTCACACAGCTAACAAGTGTTTTAAGCAGGATTTGAACTCAGGTCTTCCTGACCCCAAGTCCAGCACTCCATCCACTGAGCCATGAGATCTCCAAAAACAATCCTCTGAAGTGAATAGTACACATAGTTAGAAGACCTGCTTTACTACTTATTACATCTGTCAACAGAGGTAAGTCACTTTATCTCCCTAGGCTGCAGGTTCTTCATCTATCAGGTGAGAATAACACTACTGATCATCCTAACACTAACTGAAGTTTATATAGTGTTCTCAAGTTTGCAAAGCACTTTCTATACATCATGTCATTTGAACTTCACAATGACCTTGGGAGGTAGATCCAGGTGAGGCAGGTGAAGCTGAAGTAGGTTAATTAACTTGTATATGATCATGCACCTAATAAGTGTCAGAGGTGGGGTTTGAACCCGGATCTTTGGGACTTCAAGTTCACGCTCTGTCTATTCCATCATACTACTTCTCCCTCTACTTGTCTCCCTCTCTCTCACACAGGATTGTTGGAAGGAAAGCGCTTTGGGAAATGTAGAATGCTTTAGAAATAGGAGCTATTATTACCATACCATTTTGACAGATGGTCAAAAACTGAGGCTGGGAAGTTAAGTGACTTCTCCAAGGTCACAGAGCTAGTAAATGATAGATTAGGACTCAAATCCAGGTGCCTTATCTTCTCCAGGTTAAAAATTGCCAGTTCCTTCAATCAAGCCAGAAGATTTGGGGTGGAAGTAGGGCAGAAGGGGGATATCATAGCCGTCTTCCAGTATGAGAAAGGGTGTGAGCCATTACTCCTGGTTGGTTCCTGAAGACAAAACTAGGGGGTCAATGAGTGGAAATTTCAAAGAGGCTGACTTCAATATAACGAAAGAAAGTACTTCCTAACTATTAGAGCTATCCAACCATTGAATGAAATGAGCTACTTGGTGAGGTATTAAGGTCCCTCTAAGATCATAGATGATGATAAACCTATGTCTGGAAGGACCTCAGAGGTCAGCTAACCCAACCCCCTTGTTTTGCACACTTAAACCGAAGGGTTAAGTGACTTGACTTGGAAAAGATCACACACACACACACACACACACACACAGAGTAAAAATCAAAGGTAGGATTTGAACTCAGGTTCTGACTCTAAAGCTAGTGCCTTTTCCATTATACCATGTTGTATTAATAACAGCTCACATTTTTATTTCACTTTAAGATTTGCAAAGCACTTTATATGCATTATTTTATTTGATCCACTAAACATATCTGTGAGGTAGGCATCTATTATCTTCAATTTACAGATAAAGAAACTGAGGCATCAAGAGGTGAGTTACTTGTCCAACGTCATTCAGTAATAAGTATCAAAGCAAAGTAGAGGTTGAACTAGATAACTAAGATCTCCTTCCACTTGGCAGTTTCTACAACTCTGTAGGATGGGGGATTCTCTGGAACCCCCAAAGTTGTTTCTCACAGGGTCTATTCCTATTAGGCTCTACTTGCTCAGGCTGTCTTAAGGATAGGTGGCAAACTTCTCCAGCTTTTTCTCACTTTTTGGCTATTTCACTGGCACCCTTTTAAAAAGCCTAATCCTCATGGTGCAGTGAAAAGAATGTGACCTTGGATTCTTCAGACTTAGGTCTGAGTTCTGGCTTTGCCTTCCTAGTTGTGTGATTCGGGACAGACTGCCTTATTTACTGCCACGGTTTCCTGAACTGTAAAGGAGTTGAACTAAATCAAGGTTCTTAATCTTTTTTTTTTTTTTTTTAAATCATGGTCCGCTTTGGAGATCTAGTGAAATCTATGGACCTCTTCTCAGAATAATGTTTTTAAATGCATAAAATAAAATTTGTAGGATTACAAAGGAAACCAATTATTTTGAAATACACTTATCAAAAGATCAAAAACCCACAAGTTCATGGACCTCAGGTTAATAACCCCTGGACTAGATGATCCCTAAAAATATCTTTTCTAGCATTCCAGTACATTTTAGCATATTATAAGAATTATGTTCTAAGCTTTCTTCCAGTTCTAAATATCTGTCCCTCTTCTATATTCTAAAGATCCTGATGCTTTAAGATTCTGTGATCCTAACATTTTTTTTATTCTGTTAACAATAAATGCCAACCTTCTCCTTCTTCTCCCCATCCTTTGACTATATCCACACTTTTAGAGAGGAAAAAAAAATCATAACTAGAAGAAGATATGTGTCCCCCTGTAAGGAAGAAGATAGAGGAAAAACAAACAAGAGAAAAGGAAAACCCGGGGGAAAAAGGCCAATGGAGATGAATGGAGTTCTTACCCTTCCTTCCTGACCCAAAGGTTTCTTCATTCTCCTTTTCTCCTGGAAGTTTGGGAGCCTCGATGGATCTGGTTGATCCCTGAACACCATCAAGAATATTCCTCCTCCAATCCTGGTCTCTCCTTTCCAAAGACCCCATTGACTTTCTTCTCATCAGGGGAGCCAAGCGCTGCTGCCATCCCTCCTCCTCTTCCTCTTCTTGGTTAGGCCGGGGCTCAATGTCTGGGATGAAGCATTTTGCCGTTGCATCAGTCAGGACCACCGGCGCCTCCATGACTTGTGATTCACTCCTTGCTATAAGATCTGCATGACCAGCTGTCCAAAGGAAAAAAAAAAAAGAAAGAAAAAAAAAACAACACTGTTTTCAGAGAAGAGGACCTCCTAGGGAAATATCCTGTTGTTGAAAAAGCACCGTCAGGGGAACAGGAAAGAACTTTCCTTCCTTCCCGATTATGTGCAAACACTGGGATTCCACGTGTCCTGTTTGACTATCCCCAGTAACATGGGGGCCCATTGCTTGCTTTCATAGACAGTTCATACCCACCCCCAGATTAAATCGCCAAGTAGAACAACAGAGCAGCAGAGATTCTGACTACAGATTAGGAAACTAAAACCCAGAAGGATTAGGTGATTTCCCTAAATTTTTAATACAATAAAAGCAACAGAACTGACATTTACATATTGCTTTAGGTTTACACTGCTCTTTTCTCCACACCAACCCTTTGAGGTAGATAAAACAAGTGTTACTATCATCATTTTAGAGGCGCGGAGATAGATTCAGTGCCAAAGGTCACAGAACTAAAGAATATCAGAGCTCAGATCAGGGGTGGAGACTTTGCACTTCAAGTGCAAAGAGCTGAAGATTCTCCACCCTTGGCCCCATACTAAAACCCAGTCTCATGCCACTGCTTCAATCCATCCAGGGACTCTGCTAGGTGCTGGAGGTGCAAATACAAGGAATAAAACAATCCCTACTTCCAAGAAGCTCCAAGTCTCATACGGAAGGTAATGACCTTGACCTTTGGCACTGAATCCATCTCCTCACCTCTAAAATGGCGATAGTAACACTTGTTTGAGCTACCTCACAAGGCTGATGTGAAAAAAGGGCATTGTAAATTTTAAAACAATATGTAAATGTCAGCTACTGTTGCTATTATAATAATAATTATAGGCAGCTAGGTGTCTCAGTGGTTAGAGAACTGGGCCTGGAGTCAGGAAGATCTGAGTTCAAATCCATCCTCACACACTTATTGGTTTTTTGACCCTGGGCAAGTCACTTAACCTCTGTTTGCCTTAATCCACTGGAGAAGGAAACAGTAAACCACTCTAGTATCATTGCAAGAAAATCCCATATGGGGTCATGAAGAGAAGGACATGACTGAACAACAATGAAATAATATTTATTTCAATAGAATTTAAAAATTCATTCAATTGAATAATTTTTCAATAAAAATAATCAATTATCATTTCACTATATCCTCACAATATCCTGGAGAGGTGCCAGTGTTATCCTCATTTTACAAATGAGAAAACTGAGGCAGAGAGGGGTTAAATGACTTGTCCAAAGCTAGTGAGTGTCTCCTGACTCTAGGTCCAGCACTCTATCCACCTTGACACTCAGCTGCATAAATGCAAAGTCCATGAATAAAAACATAAACAAAGTAGTTAAATCCAAGGTAGTTTTTAGGAGGGAGGGTACTGGCAATTGAAGGGGCCAGGAAAGACTTCATGAAGACGATGGTGTCTGAGCTACGTTTTAAAGGGACAGTGAGATTCTATGAGGAAGAGAGAAGGAGAGAGAGAATCGGGGGGGCATAGGAGACAGCCAGGAATAGAGACAGAGAGAGAGGAGATGGAAGGTCAGGAGTGAGGAGCAGAGAGGTGGGCAGTTTGGTTTGGGGAAGACCCCAGATGTTTTCCTACATTGTCACTGATACTTCTGAAGCCCTCCTTTCCTCATGCCCCTCTTTACCCCTTCCTCCCCACCTTCAGCCCCAGGTTGGCCTACCACCCCTGGGAAAACAATGACAACAAATATTCCAAATCTGCCTTTCTCTTTATCTACTTTCTCAGTTCCTCGATGATTATAAAATATTGCAGAATATTACAACTGGAAGAGACCTTAGCCATCATTTCCTCCATCCTCATTTTATAGAAATGGGATGATAAGAGCATAGGTTTAAAGCTAGAAGGGACCTTTGTGGTTATTAAGTCCAACCATCTCATTTTACATGAGAGGGAATTGCAACCTAGGAAAAGGAATTGATTTGTCGAAGAACAAACAGGTAGTTAAAAGGCAGAGCAAAGTTTTGAAAAAAAAGTGATGTTTTAGAAACATTTTTGAAAAATACTTAATAATCTATGTACAGTACAGAAAGATTTTAAAAAGCAGCTGTTTTTTGGAACTGAATAAAGTCTCCTGACTCCAAGGTCAATGCTCTACTTTCGTCTAAATGGATCTTACTATCTGTTGACTCAAGCAGGTTGTGTGTCTGAGTCTAAATGGCAAAAAATACCTATCTTCCATAGACTCACCGAAAGCATCCTCAGACTGGTCCAGCTTGAGAGTAAATGACATGTACTGCATCCTATCTCCACAGGGTTTTAATTTCTTCTACCAGGCCTGTCTGGTTCAGAACCTCTTCAATCCAAAGATTATGAATATTGGTTATGGGATATTTATTAACAATGTTGTATTAAATTTTTATGGATTAATGTTATGTCTAGGAGATTGTTGGCAACTGTTTGTTTGGTTGTTTTTTATTTTTTTAGTGTGTGTGTCCAAACCCAATTCCAGCACAGTTTATTGTTGAAATTCTTAAGGTTATTTTAAGGTCTGTATTTGTAGTATGGGGATTTGACATCTGTTAGTTTGTGAAAGACAGTGAGCTTCTGATGTATAATTTAGGCCACCCAGGTTATGTCTAGCTGAGTATGTTGTAGGTGCTAAATTTTTAATCTGCAGTGGAGCATTTTCAGTTTCTTCCATTTCCTTACATAATCCTTATAGTGGTTAATTGTAACTTTATTATTATTATTACATTGGTCAGGATCTTGAATTTTGTCATTATCGGGGGAGGCTGGGTATGGTTCCAGGTGTGGAAACTCACTCCACTGAAGCAGATTAGCGAGTCGTTTGTCATTTAAATTCTTAGAGACTTGCTCAGGTTTATAGAGAGATTAAGTGAGTACCCACATTCACACAGCTAGTATGTATCAGAGATGTGAATGGAACTCAGGTCTCATTGCACAGCTGGCCCTCTATTCATCATTATTTAGCTCCCTCTCGTACTTTATATTAAATTATCAGATTATTAGCATTACTGTGGGCCACTCCTTCCTCCTGGACTCTCTCCTTCTTTGAATTTTGTGGCACTGTAATCTCTTGGTTCCTTTCCTAATTGACCATTCTTTCTTAGTCTCCTTAGTCAATCATCAGCCTTTGCCTGTCCTTTAAGTGAGTGCTAGAGCTCTGTCTTGGCCCTTCTCTTGTAGTTATACTTTCTCCCTTTGGGATCTCCCCAGTTTCCATGAGTACAATGATCACATTTATGCAGATGGCTCCCAATTCTACGTATCAAGCCCTCACCTCACTCTCATGCTCCAGCACCACATCATCAATTGTCCAAGGACATCTCCACCTGGAGGTTCTGTCAGGCTCTCAAAATCAGCATGTTTAAAACAGCACTTTTAGCTGTGTGACCCTGGGCAAGTCACTTAACCCCAATTATCTTGCCCCCCCCAAAAAACAACAAAACAAAACAAAAACAACCCAGCACTTTGTCTATTTCCCCCAAAACTTTCTCCTTTCTCCAAATTTCTCTGCTTCTGTTGAAGTCTATCCTTCCAGTTACCCAGGCTTGCCACCTTGGAGTCATCATCAACTCTTCTCTCTCGAATTTGGTTCTAACTCCCCCATACCTTTCTCATCAATTTCTGGTCAACGAACATAACATCTACCCTATCTTAGTCCCTCACCATCTCTAACCTGGGTCATTCCAATAACCTCCTAATTCATCTTCCAATATATCCCCCACACAGCTGCCCAAAAGATATTCCCAAAATATAGAACTCATCATGTATATAGCCCTACTCAAAATCTTCGTTGTTTCCTACTGGCTAGTGTAAAAAAAAAAATAAATAAATGCAAAACCCTCAGTCTGGCATTTAAGGCCTTCCTCAATCAAAATCCCCACCTACTTTTCATATATCCCCCACATGCATTCTCCATCCTAGGCAAAATGGCCTAGTAAGTAGCTCATTCCTTATGCATTTCTTATGCATGATTTCTTGCCATTAAGCTCTTTGCTCAGGTGAATTGCATTTCTTCCTCCCTCCTATGTCTTAGAATCCCTAATTACCTGCAAGACACAGTCCAGGTGCCACCTCTTACTTAAGGCCCTCCTTAATTTCTCGAATTGTTAATGCTCTTACCTTTCTGAGATTACTTTGTATTATTTGTACATACTTTTATTGATTTATCTGCAGCTATGTTTCCCCCACCTCACACCCAGGTGAATGTAATCTCCTTGATGTCAAAGATAACTGTTTTTATTTTTTCTGCATCTAGCACAACGTCTGATAAATAGTTGGTGCTTCATATCAATCATTCAATCAATCAAAAAATACTTATTAAGTTCCTGCTATGTGCCAGGCACTGTGCTAATAAATGTCAGCTTAATTATTAATTGAATTAACTGTTGACTTTTATGCAGTACATTAAGGTTTAGGATGCACTTTCACATGCGTGATCTCATTAGATCCTTACAGCACTCCTGAGAGGAAGACAGGACCCACTTAACAGAGGAGGAGACTAAGGTCCTGAATGGGGAAGTAATTTGTTGAGGGTCATGGAGCTAGTCAATAGTAAAGCCAAGACTTTAGTCCAAGTCTCCTGACTCCACATTCAATGCTCTACTTTAGTCTAGATGGGTCTCACTATCTGTTAACTCAAGCAGGTTATGTGTCTGAGTCTAAATGGCAAAAAATCAGGGCCTTGAAAGAACACTTCCTCCAATCCTCTGATGCTTACTCTGAGTGGTCCCTGCCATACCCCGTCTCACAGCCCTGACGTGCCTCCTGTCACAGCCAGGAAAGGAAATTGACTGGCCCAGATTTTTCCCTGGTGCTGAGAAGCCACCAGCTGTGGGAGGGACGAAAGGAAGGAAGCCAGTAAGCAGATCTGTTTTTGCAGAGTTAGATAAAAAGTTCCGGCAAATGGTCCTGTGTATTGGGAAATATTTTCTAAAAGGCAATTCATCACTTGCAGGAAGAAGGGTGAGGAACGTAAAGGAATTACAAAAAAGCAATTTGAG